TCTTCAAATCACTGGGTTGCCTGCAGCCTGCTATAGTCCAGCCTGATATTACATTGACTGGATGTTAGAAAAAGATTTCTGGTTAATCAGGACTTTACATGTAATAACACTATCTTTTATGCGTATTAATTTATCTTGTCACGTTTTCGTTTCATATTTTCAATTAATTCCTTTTTTAAAATTCCTATGCCACAAAACGAAAAAGGGACCAAGCTTTAGATAAGCAATAAGGCATCGTTATCTTTAAATTCTTTTTAAGGATTTAAACTCTATCGTTCCTTTTATTCTTTCAATAAGGTAGAATTTGCGAAAGAAAAAAGACATCAAACATTAAAAGCTCTATTCCATCAACAGCAAGATTGATTGATTGTATTTTGTTAAACTCCTTTTTGAGAATTTTCACTTATAAAGAGAGAGAGGTCTCCACATACAGGCAAAGAAACTTTATTCGGCACTCAGGCTCGTAGAGCATTGAGGGATCATTATCTTGCCAACGCCTGCCGTGACATTGTTATCTGGTTTATAAGGTCTCATCCGATGACCTGCAACTTTTACTTCAGAGTCCCGAGCTCTTGGTGACGAGGATCGAACCCAAGACCTTCTGATCATGAAGAGAGCGACCTTCCAATAAATAAATACCAAGACGGTCGTTGACAATGGAAGAATTTTGAATAAGGATAATTAACATCATTTACCTATGTGATTGCAATTAGTACCAATATTCAAAATAATTTCAACTGAAGTCTTCAATCAGCGTTTCCGACACTACCTAGTAAGTTCTCAGTTGTGGCAAAAATTATCGTACCTAGACACAAAATATGCACCAAGCATCTAAAGAAACTCTCCAAAACTTCTCAACATAAGTACTGCTGGAAAGACCATTATAGGCAATTTTTGTGGGGTTGGAACTTTATATCTATATATTTTTAATTCTAAACAAGATGTGTTTGTGAAACACTGACGCCCCCTGACGAAGCTTATGGTGAGGGTTGAATTCTCTCAAATGCTTGTCAAACTCCAAAGATCTAGGTCAAAAGTGCTGGTACGCCAAAAAATTCGTGTTACAAGGAATACACCTGTGAAATATGAAAGCCTGAGTTTTAACTGTTTGGAACTTATGACCAGCGTTAAAGTTTTTTTAAATAGTGGGTCATACTCATAGGTCAAGATGTAAGGGTAAAAAATATTTATACGAGCTGAAAGGTCTTGTCACAATATATACACATGTAAAGTATGAAAGCCTTAGCACAAACTGTTCAATAGTTATGGTCAAGATTAAGGTGTGACATTTTGTTGTAAAAGTATGCCAAACTCCAAGGTCAATATGTCAAATTTGGCAAAACCAAAAGAAAGGTTTTGTCACAAGGAATACACCTGTGAAATATGAAAGCCATATCCCTACCCACTCAATACTTACGGGCTAAATTAAAGATGACAACAGACAGACATTAACACTAACAGACTGGACAAAAAGATACCCGGGATCTTTCTATCCGGGAGCCTAAAAAGAGTATGACAGGCAAATTCTCGACTCTTAGTCGGAATTTAACATGGCATTAATTATATATCAAGGAATTGTATCAAATTATTGAATTGTATCAAATATTGGGATTGAATAAAACTACGGCAATATTATGTTTTATTTCCCTATCTAGCTTGTAACACGAGCTCTGATTGGTTACAAAGTCGGGTGTAAATATCCGTGCACCCGACTTGAGCCGGGTGTAAATAAAACGTGACGTCACAATGCATAGTTTTTCTATAATACAAAGCAAATCGATATGTTGAGACACACTCTAAAGCATTGTTATGGGTAAAAGGAATAAATTCGTTATCCAGGTTCACAAAGGTGTTACATTTACCCCGGGTATTCCATACACCCTTCGGCCTTCGGCCTCAGGGTGTATGGAATACAACCCGGGGTAAATCCCCGTACACCCTTGATTGAACCTGGATAACTAATAATGTTACCAGCTGACAAAGTATTACATGTATATAGTATTATTGGTTTTAATGTTCGGTATTACAACTGCATTTTAGAAAATTACACTTGTTCTTCGATTTCTTATTTATGTTATTTTCAACAAAACTTTTTAAAAAAAATATATGAATATAACGAAAACAGTATTCAAGCTCAAAAGCCCATTAAACAATACAAATCAGGAGCAGAGCAAACACAGGCCCTTAAAATATCAGAGGTGGGATCAGGTGCCATGGAGGAATGAGCATCCCCCGTCTACCGGTTACATATCTGCCGTATGCTCTTTGTCATGATCGGTAAAAAAAACCCTGGGAAAATCCCTCGACAATTCAGTTCTTATAAAATGGCTAAACAATTAGTTAAAGTTCGACAAAAAATGGTCAGACTGAGTTTTTCCATTTCAAGCTCACTGGGATACGTATACATGTATCGTACCGATATAAGAATGGAAATGACCATTGTTAATAGAAAATACGTCATTAATATTATAATATTAAAATGTCGAGTTGAAGGCAACAGCAAGTGTTTTCTTCTTTTCAAATATAAGCTTGATAAATCTGCATATGAACACATAGGTCTGATCATAACTGAGCATAAATGGTACCTATAGGAATTTCAAAAGATTGTTGGAAGGCCTGCAGCTGGTCTCAAGAACGTTGAATATAATTGTCAATTAGAAACTCGAGCATCTTTTAATATCAATTCAGAATAGTTTTGGATATAATCAGAATGTTTTTTAACAAAATAAGTTTGCAAATGACCAATAACAAGGTAAGTAAATTTAGGAGTTCCATTTTTATTGAAAACGCAGCTGTCAACGGTATAAAAAAGAGCTTGGACTTTTAATTATCGGGGGAAATGGTTGTATATAAAGTTGTATATCAAACACGGGCCTCCAAAACATCAAAAGTGGGATCGGGTGCCGTGGAGGAGTGAGTATCCCCTATCGACTGGTCACACCGCCATGTGCTCCTTGTCATCATGGGAAAATATCGGAGAAAAAACGTCGACAATTCAGTTTTTATAATGGTTATACTATTAGTATGAAAAACGCCAATCAGCATTTGACTTAATGATAAATTGTATGTGCTGACAAGGTAGACCTACCATACACACGGAAAACACGGAAATCATAACTCGCCTTCTACACCAACCAGAAGCCATAATCTCCGAGAGTCTGATAAGTAGTGGATACGGAAAGATACGTACATCGTTTGTATGACGTGTATAGGGAAGAAATTTCTTGCATACGATCAGCTTTCTGCACAAAGTGCTGATGACTTGTACGCTGATGTACTGTAGATTCCTAAATATACGCGTGGAATTAATTATCGCGTAATTTCGCGAGAAGCACCACACGCGAAATAAAATTACTCGCCTTTATTTTTATGGTGCTGAAATCTATGTAAAATCTCTTGACCAACCGTCCATTCGCGAATTATTATTCTCGCGATTTGCCGTTGAAGAGCCCATTCGCGATAATAAGTACTCGCGAAAAATAAGGAATTTACAGTATCGGAAATGAGATTTTTAAAAGTTTCAGTGAAAGAGAATGACACTTGGAAAAGTTTTTACCATTTCATTGCAGAAGGATACATACTTAAGAAAAGCAAATTTGGAGATTGTACCATTGAATCTTTAAAGGGGCATGGAAACAGTTTCAGCTAAAATTTCAAAATTTTTTTTTCCATTTTTACAAATATTTAACTAGGGTTTTTCTAATGATCATAAAAAATTTGAACTTCAGTTTTCCAGATACAAGACAGATTTAGAGCTCCAAACCTTTGTTATGTAAACAAGGCTAGTGTCATGTTTTTGTTTACACAGGTTAATATACTAATATATGTTCGTTCAAAGTAGATAATTTCAAATAAAAGTTAATTTTAAATACGATTCGATAGTTACTATTGATTTGCTGAACTTCAGTTTGTTATAAATATGATATTTTCTATATATAAACAAAAACAAGGCACGAGCCTTGTTTACATCATAAAGAACTTAAGTTCTGCATCTTGTTTGTTAATCAACAAATGATGTTCAAATTTTTGGTAATCAATAGATGATGTCTTAGGTATGAATTGTAAACATTAAAATTGGTTTTAAAATATTAGTTAAAACTGTGTCCCCTTTAAACCCAGAAAACTTAATCTTAGACAAGTGTTAAATTGAATTTCGAATATGTTCGTGGTCTTAAGCCCAGCTTACATACTCCTACATGTATTTACAAACAGCAAATTTTTAAATATGAAAATGTATGTATTATCACATGTCAATAGAGGGAAGCAAGATTTTCTCGTGATTATTAATTCAAAATGCTTAATTCACGTCTATTTAGACTAGTTTTTAATAAGCTTTAACATATGAGTTAATTTTTCATTATAAAATATAGCATGATTGCTTTCATTAAAATGCATCTTTGAAAGCCCCCATAATCAAAGATTCGTGGATATGCACAGTAGTGTTTTGCCCTGTTCGTCCGTCTGTCAAGTTGTTTGTTCCCAGAGTAACCTTGTTTATAACTTTTAATTGGTGTGAGCTATGGTTATTTCACAATTCACATTTGTATATCTTTTGAATAATCCTTTCTTTAGGTATGAATATATTGGACCTCTTGACTTAGTAGTTTGATCCAATTTGGAAACAATTATCAAATTCGAACCTTAGCCATATTTTGTATAGTAGGTTCTAGAGCTTCCGTGTTTCACATGTATATTTTTGTGATAAGGTACCCCCCCCCCTTAGGTATACATATAAATATTTTTCCCTTTTGACATTGACCTTTGTGTTTTACCCACTTTTAAAAAACGTGTCACTTGCGTTTAAACAATTTGTATTAGGGTTTTTATATTTAACATGCACATGTACATATATATTCCTTGTGAAAACTCTATTTGAATAAAATTATTTTGACCTTTTGATCTTGTCCCTGGCCATGGAGTTTGACCATTTTTTAAGGGAAAAAAATGTACTAGTATTTCTTGCGACACAATCCTTTTTCAAGGTATCATTGCTTTTGATCTTGATCTTGACCTTGGAGTTTGACCCACATAGTAAAAACGTTTACCTTCAACTTTCAAGTGATCAAAATGTTATTACATAAAAAAATATCTTGTCTCAATGAATATACATGTGATATATAAAAGCCCAAACGCCAACTGTTCAAAAGTTAAGGCTAATTAGGTTAAAGTTTTTAAAAAGGTAAGTCAAACTCCAAATATAAAATTATTTATCTATTTTTTGTAACAGTTTCATTGATAAACAATCATAAATTAAATCTTAAAATACGAAAAGTTTTAATACGAACGAATTTAAGCAATATTGCATGATTCTCGTATTTATGTTTTAAAAAAAACAATAAAGCGATTCAAATAACTCTTCAGTGAAAAGTATAATAACCTCATTCATTAATGATAAATCCTTTTTAAATTGCTTTTTTGCAATTGATCATGATTATCAGTACATATTTCAATTCACCTTTTTAACAATCTGAAAGCAGGAAATCTATCATACTGACGTAAATCTTATTCCGAAATTTTATATCAAGAGAAAATGCCGATGTTACTAGGAAATTACTTACGACTATGCGTGTCAGAGTCGTACATATATAATGACTATGTTTTATTTGATAAACATTTAGACTAGACAATCTTATTGAAATTGATAAGCGATAAAACGGGTTATATTTATCTTTTAAGTTTTGTTGAAGCACGGAAGTACTTTATTTTTAACATATGGAAACGAAACAAAATTATGTGGATGGTAAAATTTGTATCTTTTATGTACATTTTTGTTTATACTTGTACTCCGACCGGTAAGTAATTAAAGAAAATGAAAATGCAGTAATCATAAATGATTTTTTTATTCTTAAATTTCATAAATCATATTCATAGAAGCCATTGAATCACTTAAAGATTTGTACTTTTACCTGACAGATCCCTCTGTAAAATACGTTCATATTGGATATGACATGGACTGGAGCACTGCAGATAAAAGTTGTGGAAAATTAAATGGGGCACTGATCAGGATAACAGATATAGAAGCCATTGTCAATATTACAGGGGAGGGAATTTTAAAAACAATTTCTCCATTTTGGTCATCTATCACTGGATCATTTTCTCCATGGATAGCGTATAGAGGTATGTTTTGCAAATCCCTTCATAGAAGATGAAGATAACAAATATGTACACAAATAAAGAAAGCCAAAACGGGTAAAACCATATTTTGTTAATCATCAGGTAAACAAAAATCACAATGAAGAATAGAAATGGTTTATCTGGTAAGAATATGTAAGAAAGCATCATCTGACCTAAATTCAGATTGTATCTGCAAATAAACATATAAACTATTATCACCCTTGGTAATATTAAATGAGAAGAGATAGGGCTTTTATATTACACATGTATTTTTTCTACGACAAGACCTTTCTAAATACTCTATGACTTTTTACCCCTTACCTTGACCTTAAATTTTGACCTACTTTTCAAATACTTTAACCTTTGTCATGACTGTTGAATGAGAAGAGATAGGGTTTTCATATTAAACCTGTGTTTTGCCTGTGACAAGACTTTTCTAAATACATTATGATTTTTGATCTTCTGACCTTGACCTGGAAGTTTGACCTACTTTTCAAAGATGTTAAATTTTCCTTATAACTTTTGATTAAAAAGAGATGGGTTTTTCATATTAAATAAGTCATGTTTATTACGTTCAAGTCATTTCGAAATTCAATTTGATTTTTGACGTCATGACCTTGACCTTGAAAGCTTACTTTTCAAAAACTAAAAATCTTTGTCATGAGTTTTAAATGAGAAGTGACAGGGCTTTTATATTAAATCTGTGTATTGCCTGTGACAAGACTTTTCTAAATACACCATGATTCTTTATTCGTGACCTTGACCTTAAAGTTTGACCTACTTTTCAAAATGTAATTTTTTTTATAACTTCCAACTAAGAAGATACAGGGCTTTCATATTAAAATGTGTTTTACCTGTGACAAGATATTTCCGAGCATGCTATGATTTCTGATCCTGGATCTTCACTTAGTCTATTGACCTTATTTTGTAAAGAAAAAATAACCTCTGAATGACATATGATAGGGCGTTCATATTTGGCATAATACTGTAAACCAACTTTTATTCGCGACAATTTAACTTCGCGATTTTCCAGGGATAAAATAGTTCGAGGCGATTAATTTAGGCAATCAAGCCTTTTTGGATCTGTTGTTAATAGACGCTAAGGTGTGGTTCGCGGCGAGAAATATTAGCGATGACGAGGCTCTCGCGAACCTCGCGAAAATTTCTCGCACGCCAATAAAATTTGCATAACAGTAAGCCATAAATAATAACATTTCACCCACAAAGACACCGAAAGCGTGGGACCACAATTCTTTGAGTTTGCTCGTACATAGTAATGTTGATATTCTTGATATTTCAGGATGTTATCCACAATCAGGGATAGGCATAAACATATCGAAATGGACCCTAAACAGTGTTGGGAATTGTTTCTTCCAGTGCAAGAATCAATCGCCAAACCCCGATTGTACTTATTTTGCACTTGGGGTAAAATTTTTTATGTTATTTTGTTATACATGTATATAACTTCAGAATTAATGATAAGTGTAACATAAGATATTGGAATTAATTTTTTTGTAGACGACAAATAGGCAGATTTAAAAAGATGTAAAACCAACTAGTATATTACATGTATGTAATTATTTTATATTAAACTGATATTGTTATATGTAGGGAGATACATGTTACTGTTTATGCAGTTTGCCAAAAGTTGACCTGGCAGATAGCAAATATTGCAATATAATATGTAATAATTCCATAGATGATGGATTCTGCGGAGGGAATGGATATGTCACTTTGTATGAAGGTAAAGATCCAATGTCCTTTTTAATCTGAGAAATTGTTTAAGTGCTGATTGCGATTTGAACTTTGTTATTGTCGAATAATGCACTAATAAAGTTATGTTAGAGAGATATGAATGATGTAACGTAGTATATGGAAATAAATCTTAACATCTGTTTTGTATCCCTCCCCCTGTAAAATGAGTACATTGAGGACTCTCTAAATGCAAATAAAATAGTTTCAAAAATTCCATTATATGCTCATTTTTATTCAGAATCCAAAGTCTTATAAATTGTATAAGTGTAAAAATTGAAAAATGAGATCTTCCGAAAAAATTTCAGGAGCCAAAAGCGTGTAAAGTACATATACATGTTTGTCACTAACCTAGTTATTTTGCATTCTCAATAATAGACTTAGAATGTGTAATAGGTAATCTTTTAAAATAAATTGGTCGAATTTTTTTCATCTAAGTAAAAATCATTCTGATGTTAAAAAATTGAAAATAATTAACTGAGTTTTATCTTTGACTTATATCTAGATAATCAACAATAGCATATAAAAGGTTTAGCTTCCTGATTTCTATTCCATTAACCAATGACTTTAATTGTCTTTGCAGACATAATTTTGAGTCAATATCACATGCCTGTAGAATGTTGATAAAAACATAAAGTAAGAATTATTATGCCCCCGTATTAGAAGTTTAGGGCTTATTTAGTTCTTGGCCTGTATACGTCCGTCTGTTTGTTTGTTTATATACAATAAACTTTAACATTGCCTATAGATTTTGAGTGGATTGGGCTATGGTTATCGTATTCCACAATGAATTCCTTGTTAAAAAGTTTCTTTTTTGGCTTTCAACATATTACCTCTTAATTGGTCTTGACTTTGGATTTTGCAAGAATTTATCCATCCTTAACCTTGTCCATAACTTTTGAGAAGGTCATACTTTACAAGTGTATTAATTGTGATAAAAAAATCTCAGGAATATAAATATTTTTACAATAACCTTTTGCGTTTCACCAACCTTAAGAATAATGGACATTACTTTTGAACAGTTAATTCTTGTACCTTCATATTTCACAGGTGTATTTCAATGACAATGCCTTCCTTTTGATACCTTTATATTTCACATACATCTACCTTTAAAAACTTAACCTTTGTAATAACTTTTATACAGATGGTGCTAGGACTTAAATATTTCACATGTGTATTTCAAATGACAGGGTCTTTCACTATGTAGAACCTTTAATTTGATCCTTTAACGTTGACCTTGAAAAATATGAATGGTTAATGTTTTTGCTTTCATATTTCATAGCTGTATTCATTGAATCAAGTCCTTTCTTTAGATAACACTATTTTTCTTGCCTTAATATTGTACTCTGACTGGCATTCGAAAAAACTTCCAACATTTTCCAATATGTCACAAGCACATCCTTGTTTCATTCTAAGATTCCATGCATCTGGGCAGAACATGATTCTGAGACAGATAAATAACCTTGACCAAACCAAAATATCCTCCTTTTGGAGAAATAAACGCATTGATAAACATCTATTAAAATACTCAATCTTTATTGCAAAAATATTGGAGTGTTTTAAGTTGCAAATCATTTCATTTCAAAAGAAATGTACCTAATGTCATTTTCAGCAAACAGTTATAACGGTACAGGTGATGGGTTTTGTATGGCATACGATTGTAGTGGTGAAGAATTCCGATCTTTTGGGCACGATTGTAATGAACGATATGAAGGATATTGTGGTGAGTATTTATTTCCATGTAATAATTTTAACATGTATTAAGAAACTAATTGTAAACATGCTGGGGATAAAAGGCAATTGGAAAAGAATACGTACCTAAACAAATTCAAATGAAGAAAATAAATGAATAATATATAACACTCGGTAAATGTATATGTGAGAAACTGTGTGCTTACTTTTCTTTAAATTGATCGTTGTCAATAATTACAACAAAATATAATTTCAGTAGTTGGCAGTCTATCATACGTATTATGTATGTATAAAATGTGATTCAAAATGTCGTATACGAAAAAGGTGCGTTGAGAATAACTGTGATATTATTCATTTTGTCTGCAATTTGTTTATTTTGTAGTTAACCATTCGAATTATTTACTTAAACAAGAAGCAACAACGTGGAATAGTTACTCAATGATGTGCAAAAACCTAAACCATTTTTTAGCGGCCAGTATAACTAAAAATTCCGATTGTATGGGTTATATTTGGATTGGAATAAGGAGATACGAGATACATCAAAGCAACGAAGGAAAGTTTCGTTTGATTACAAAAACTATAATAGTGACAAATTATTAAATTTATTTCTTTTGAGACTTTAAAATTTGCATATATGTTCTGATTGCACAAGTTACAAAAATGTGACTGTATATTAAGAACATTACTTTTAAATATGAAAATTTTAATTGTAAAATTATAACTAATTTTGCAGAAACATGTATATTGATTAATGTCCATTAACCCCTGCGGGTAGAATTGATTTTATTAAATTATCTGTGCTCTAAACTAAATTTTAAAAAGTTTGCCATTTGTCATATGGCCCAAAACTCTAATACTTGTCAAACTAACATCAAATAGTGCCAGATCCGCTACTCTCTCATTGTATTATCCAACTTTTATGTTTTAGGTTCTAAAGGCAATGGTTGTTATAAAATCAAAAAGGGTTTTCGCACGTGGTTATATGAGAAAAGTGATTGCTCCGAAAAACTTTCTTTCATCTGTAAAGTTTCGGATCAAATTCATAGTGAGCTGACTTTTTAAACAGAATCAAAATCGATTTTAATGTATATCAGTCGGGCATTGTTTATTCTCTTAGAACATTACTGAAATCTTGACAAGACGAATGTTTCATTATATTAAAAAGACAACTGTTTAAGAGAACAAATTAGGAAAACAAATTTCATTAAATATTATCGTTTATGTCATTTTATTTAAACACCAGAAAAAATCGATAAGGAAAGGTTAACCTGGAACATTTTTTTCAAGTATATAGAATTTTTGCTTTTTCCAGATTCTAGCATTTCTCCAACTCTTCCTCATTCCACGGAGACAGTCACAACAAAAGTCTCCGTAAACATTAACGACTCAAATAGTTAAGTCATTTATTTTCACATAAAACAAAATCTAACAGTGAAAAATACATATTTGTACAAGTAATTTCAGGGAATGTTGAAATACAATGAGCAGTTTGCTTACAATGTTCTGCAGCTAACAGGAATGTGAAATATATAAATGATAAAAGGATTAAAGATAAGTGAAAATATAACTTTGAAAATATTTGGATCGGATATACTGTTAATCTTATCACCAAAATGAATCCTTCTATCAAACTATTTATATTGGTTTCATTGTATTCTCTTATAAGATTACTGCAAGCGCATTATACCATGAATTTTCATTTAAGTTCTCTCTAATGAACAAAGTTATATGATAAGCCGAATGTTTCATTCTAATATTAAAAAAGACATCTTTTTAAGAGAACAAATTAAGAAACCAAATAAGCAATATATCGGGTATGTCATTTAATTCAAACACAAAAAGATCGGTAAGGAAATGTTAAATGAAACCGCTTTCTTTCAAATATATAGAATTTTTGCTATTTCCAGATTCTAGCATTTCTCCAACTCTTCTTCATTCCACGGAGACAGTCACAACAAAAGTCTCCGTAAACATTAACGACTCAAATAGTAAGTCAATTACCTTCACATGAAACTTCCAAATTTTAACAGTGAAAATACATATTTGTACATGTCATTTCAGGAGGATTAAAATACAATTTAGATTTGCTTACACAAGAACATTGTTCAACAGCTAACAGGAATGTGACACATATATGATAAAAAGATTCAAGTTATGTAAAAATATAACTTTTAAAATATTTTGGATCGGGTATACTGTTAATCTTATCCCCAAATCCTTCTATCAAACTATATATACTGGTTTCATTGTATTATCTTATAAAATTACTGCAAGCGCATTATACCATGAATTTTCATTTAAGTTCTCGCTAATGAACAAAATTATATGATAAGGCGATCCGTGCGAATGTTGCATTCTCACATTATAAAAGAAAACTGATTCAGAGAACAAATGAAGAAACCAAACAAGCAAAATTGTGTATGTCATCTAATTTAAGCACAAAAAGATCGGAAAGGAAATGTTTAAATGAAACCGCTTTTTCTTCGAATAGAATTTTTGCTATTTCCAGATTCTAGCATTTCTCCAACTCTTCCTCATTCCACGGAGACAGTCACAACAAAAGTCTCCGTAAACATTAACGACTCAAATAGTAAGTCATTTATCTTCACATGAAACTTCCAAATTTTAACAGTGAAAATACATATTTGTACATGTAATTTCAGGAAAGAATAAAAGACAATAGCAATTTGCTTTTAATACATTGTTCTGCAGCTAACAGGAATGTGAAATATATAAATGATAAAAGAATTCAAGATACGTAAAAATATAACTTTAAAAATAATTTGGCTCGAATATAATGTTAATCTAACACTGTGTTGTGTATCCCAAAATCCTTCTATCAAACTTTTTTAAATATTGGTTTCATTCCGGGGCCAATGGAATACAAAAATACATTATTTTGGATATGGAAATTATATCTAATGAAAGAATGGGAGCTTTACATTACAAATTGTATCTCTTATATTTATGCATTAAGTGGTTGTTTTGTGTGTATTTTACAGCTTTAAGTTTAGTTACTGGGACCGTCTCTGGAATTATCGGACTACTTATAGTTATCGTAGTCACTGTCGTTTTTGTTCGAAGAAAGCAGTAAGTTTGTGGAATATTCTTGCATATTCTAGTTAAGTTAATAAAACGTTATTTGATAAAACGAAATCCTATTCTTTTTAAGTTTTATTACTGGTTGTTTCGTCTTTTGTTATCCAAATACAGTTAAACACACTAAAAGCGAACTTGCTTATAACAATTTGACATAGCGAAGTAACTTTCATTCCCCATAAGTCATTGTGAAACTATCGGATATAGCAAATTATATGCAAAATTGCCCATCCCTGGCACTTCGTTATCAACATAATCCTTTATGAAATATCTTATTAAATTCATAATGTACGATAATATATATATTTTTTTTGTTAAACAGAAAATGTAAATTTATTAAGTTGGTTGGAATTTTTGTGTTTTCAGAGGGACCCTGAGCAAAGGAACCAAACATGTGCAAAATGCTATTTACGAATTACAAAATTCAAATAAGGTACTTGAAAGAGACGAAGACATTATCTATATGAATACCATTAATGAAGGAAGGAATAACAACCAACTGCAACCTTCGCCAAACACAAATGAAATATATGTGGAAAAAGAAGAAGGAGAATACGACCATTTGCGTACTTCACGCACCAAACAGAATATAACAAATGAGGATCCCTTCTACGAAAACACCTACTCCACAACTACAAGAGAAGATATCACATATGGAGCACACTATGATAGCATGAACTCTTCAGGAGAAAGTAATTATAATTACTCAAAAGACATTAAACAAGCCAATGTCTATGGATCGCACTATGATTATTTGAACTCTTCAGAGGAAAATCAATATGACTCGAGTTATATAAATCACAAGAAAGGTTTTGTTTCAGATTATTCGTCTTTAGAGGAGAATACCTATGATAGAAGTAATAGTGCATGTTAGAATACCATTCACAAATATCTCCTTATGACACAATATTCCTCGTATAAGAGAACTACAATAAACATTTCTTTTTGAAAAATATTGCATCAGTTTCTTAACACCCCTTATGATGCAAAAGATTTTACATGTTTTATATAAGTTTTTTTCTGGTCTCTTCTGACCCAATGATGATTTGTAATTTTTGCTTCACGCCATTTACTTAAATATATGGCATTTCATACTTTCGATGCTGTAGTTATTTTAGTCCATCAATAAAACCTAGTCCAGTCGCCTTGGCTTCGGGTTATAAAAGACACACAAAGGAGCATAAACTGCATTGGTTGTAATTTAGGGCTAGGGTCGATCTACCACGGAGATGAGCATGAAAATTTTAACTACCTCTTTTCTCTATAATTCCTCTGTAATTCAGCGGAAGATACATATGCCCTAAGTTCAATTGATCAATTGTAATCAGTCAACACATACAAGACCAGCAAGATAAGCAAAAATCACATGCTACCCATAAAGAGTAGAACATTTATTAGGTATATATACAATAGTGTATATTCTGACTTATGTGAATAGTGCCAAACTTAATTCAGTAGGCCCTAACATAGTTTACTTTATTATGTCCGTAAACTTATATCAAAAGATGCAAAAATGTATTCTTATTTTTCATTTCTTACTGCTTTATTAAAATTTCTATATAACACATTGTCATGTGTTAAAATTGTTTTGATGTGAACTTCACGATCACGATAATTTTCTTAAATCAATAAAAATTTGCTGATAAAGTTCTCCGGCCTGGGTCACAATCAAGTCTTCAATAAAAACAAGGAAGTAATGAACCTGAGTGATCTAAACTTTTACAAACGGACAGAATATATAAGCAAAATAGGGAGCGATGATCAGAAAAATTACCCTGAGTGTATATATTTATCTAAATCTATGTATCCATGAAGGTAAGTAAGAGTTTTAAGATAAATCAAATAAATCGTAAATAAATGTAAGTATTTCGTATTTGAACATTCTTAAATGTGCGCTGCAATTTGTTGTTAGTTTTGATCATTAATAATTTTTATATATAGGATCAACCATTGTTTACGACGTTTTTGGGTCGAGTGAAGAATTTTTTATTATCAATTCATCAGTCGTAGAATGGGAAAAAGCGAATGCAGTCTGCGATTCAAAAAATGGATCTTTGGTTGACCTGAAGGATCTACAGAAACATATTACAAACAATACAAAACTGTTAAAGATAAATAATTCATCATACTGGTCTTCTGTTTCATATACTCCATTGATTGTATACAGAGGTAATTGTCAATGTAAAATGAATTTTTTTCATAAATCATCAATGTAAAATATTAAAAACAACAATGTTTAAAAATAAATATATATTTTAGAGGAAACTTTAAACATTATTTACCTGTCAAGAAGAGCATCCAGTGGATTGATATTTCAGAAGAAACCTTTGATAAAATTAATTTTATGGATGCTTTAACACCACTGCTGTATTACACAGAGTAAATGATTTCCTTAACTTTGTAGGTTGTTTTTCAAGTAAGTATGGAGGAAAGTACTTTGTTCAAACCCAGAATACCGTTGGGAATTGCTTTGGTAGATGTGATTGGTATTGTAACTTCATGTACAACATTCGTTTATCCAATTTTGCTCTAAAGGTAAGTTTCTTTTCCTAAAAAACGTCTCTATTTAACAGGAAAGGAGAAAATGTATGGTCAGACCGGATATCGAACCCGGGACCTCTGCAGCACCACTCAGGTGCTCTACCACCTGAGCTACCCAGGCAGATATTTACGGACCAAACCATTGCATTCCTTCCTCCTTAAATGATCTCTGCCCTCGAGGACATAACTCAAGTTCTTATTACCCTCTGCATGGTAGGACTTTCACCTGCAATCCCAGGGGTGGTCAACAGCATTATATCTGTAACAGGAAGGAAAAAATGGTTGGACAGGGAATGATCCAAAAGTTCCTGGACCCCTGCAGCTCCACTCAGGATATCTCATAATATGAGCTATCCAGGAAAATTTCACCAACTTCAAATTATCAATAATTACCTCCCTCCTTAAATGGTATTTGCCCTTGCAGACACAACCCAAGTTCTAATTACCCTTGGCAGGACTTTCACCTGCAATTCCAGGGGTGGTCAACGGCACCAAATCTGACGGGAGAGGAGAAAAATGCAGCGGACCAAACTGGGATTCGAACCCGGTCCCCCTTAATCTCCGGTCAGGTGCTCTAAAGTCTTAGAACTGAATACAAAGTTCTCGAATGGGACGTAAAACAACATGCACTTAATCAATGCATTCCAAACTGTACATTCATTTAAAAGGGGCAAAAATAACAAATTTAACGTAGGCAACTGCTGCAATATACATGTACATGTGTATGATAGTTTTTTTTATTTTTTAATTAAGGTCTTCCGTTTCCAACGGAAGACCTTCTACTGACTCTGTTGGTAAAGATTATTAAGGTCTTCCGTTTCCAATGGAAGACCTTATTGTTTTCGTTCGGTTTCTTTTTCCCTATTATTAAGGTCTTCCGTCTTCACGGAAGACCTTATAGTGATTCTATTGTTTCTTATTAGGGTCTTCCGTCTTCAGCGGAAGACCCTTCTATTATTCTTCGGTTTCTTTTCCCCCTTTATTATTAGGGTCTTCCGTCTTCAGCGGAAGACCCTTCTATTATTCTTAGGTTTCTTTTTTACCTTTATTAGGGTCTTCCGTCTCAGCGGAAGACCCTTCTATTATTCTATTGTTTCTTTTTCACTTTTATTATTATTATTCTTCCTTTTTTTTCTTTACAATTTTTGTGCAGAAGATTTCTCGGAGATAGCTCGACCGATTTACTTGAAAATTTCAGGAAAGGTGTATCTTTATCTAAACCTTATACGTTTTTTTCATTTTTTTGAAAATCACTTCCGGTCGAGAGTTATTGCCCTTAAATCAAAATTTTGAGGACCTCTTTGTCTGCGATAGAACTCAAAAACGGTTAAAGCTAGAGCACTGAAATTTTCTGTGATAATAGAGGACATGTTCCCATGTTGCAACAAGGTTTCCAAATTTTCCGAAGATGTGTAGTATGGAAACGGCCAAGGGTTGAAAGTTAGGAAACAAATCAAGAGTGAATTTTCGAGACATTTTGTATCATATCTTTAAAAGTATAGTCATTTTGTTAAAAGATACTGAACAATATTTGTGCAAAATGTCAAGTTCTTTCAAATGATGTCAATTAAAAAGTGCTGACTCATCAAATTAGGGATAAAAAGGACCCCGAACAATTTGTTGTATAACTCTTAAACGATCGATATTTTGTGATTAATTACAGAAACAAAAATGTTCCTCTTAAAAATCTTCAACTATATATTATACTGCTGACGTCATATATTACGTATTAAGGGACAAAATGGGGCTAATGATATTTTTTCCTACACCAGTATCTCAGTAACGGTTCAGTGGATTTTTGTCAAACTTTTAGAGATGATAGGGAACAATGTTCTCTTGAAAATATTTTTTCATTTTTTATCAATTTACTTCCGTTCGCTAAATATGACGTATTTTTGACGTTTTGCTGCAATGCTGGTATGTCCTATTCTGAAAAAACTACACAAAATAGAGATTTGAAATTTTCAGCAATGATTAAATGTAGTCCTGGCATGTGCACATGAGTTTTGAAATTTTAAGAAGACGTTTTAATTTCTTTCAATTTTAAATTCAAATTTTTCAAAATTTTTTTTTGTTCCAATTTTAAAATTTCTTATACCATCAGATAGATCTTGGCAAGAGCTTTCCAAAAATGTATTTGTTTTGTGTTTGAGTACAAAAATAAACAATATTTACGCTCAGGTGTGTTTTTGACACTTGAGTGCAAGTGTACTCTTAGAAATTTTCTTTTAAAAAACATAACTCTTTTATTTATTAACCGATTTCAAATTTTTTTGTACCATCAAATAGATCTTTTCAAGACCTTTCCAATGGTATCTTTCTTTTTATTGTACGTGCACTAATAAAGAAAATATAAGCTCAGGTAAGTTATACTTTCATTTTGACAGGACATGTCAAATTCAGTATCAAGGACATTTGCAGATGACCGCGCTCTTCGGTGCTCTTTGATCTTTGGTGGATATCGTTTGATTTCTGTAAAAAGTCATTTCTCTTTCATTTCTTGACCGATTTTAAAAATTTTAACTTCATTAAATAGATCTTTTTAAGAGCTTTCCAACGGTATATTTTTTTGGATTGTAAATGCAATGGTAAAGAAACTATGAATGCAGGTATGTTAGCATATTGTTTTGACAGAACATGTCAAACTCATTATCAAGGACGCTTGCGGTCAGTGCGGCTGAATGAACTCTTCGATCTTTGGCCTACATACTTCGATTTCAAGAAATATTACACAATTTATTGGGAAATTCTCGAATAAGGTCAAATGCGTGAGATTTTATCGATTCAATTTTTTTTCAAAAAACTTAAATTGCATCGAAATGTGAAAAATGGACTTATATGTATTTTATAAGATGGAGAACATAAGACCATGTGTTTTGAGATCGTTCAAAGGTCAAATAGAGTAAAATCAAATCGATTTAAATTTTTCAAAAAAAATAAATGGCTCTTAATTGCTTAAACATGGACTACATCCGTATTTAAAAGATCGAGAACAATATATCAGGTTTTTTGAAATCCCTCTAACTTCTAATAAAAAGAAATTTAAACGATTTTAAATTTTCAAAAAAATTTAAATTGTTTTTCATATGTCAAATCAACGTGTTTTGAAATCTTTCAAAGGTCAAACAGAGTGAGAATTAGACGATCAAAATTTTTCAAAAAATTTAAATTGATCCCAAATGTAAAATTAAGTACTACATTTGTATTTTGACAGATGTAGAACATCATACAAAGTGTTTTGAAATCTCTCAAATGTCGAATAGAGTGAAATTTAACCGATTAAAATTTTTCAAAAAAAATGAATTGCTCCCAGATGTAAAACTGAGTACTATATTTGTCTTTTGACAGATGAAGAACATTATTCGATGTGTTTTAAAATCATTCAAATGTCAAACAGAGTGTGATTTAAACGATTTAAATTTTTTTAAAAATTTTAATGTCTGCCAAATGTAAAATCAAGTGCTACATCTGTATTTTGACAGATGGAGAATATCATATAATGTGTTTTAAAATCATTCAAAGGTCAAATTTTTCAAAAAATTTAAATGGCTTCCAAATGTAAAATTGAGTACCATTTTTGTACTCTGTTATACGGAGAACATCATACAATGTGTTTTAAAATATCTCAAAGGTCAAATAGAGGGAGATTTAAACGATTTAAATTTTTCAAAAAATTTAAATTGCTTCCAAATGTAAAATCAAATACTATATCTGTATTTTGACAGATGAAGATCATTATACAAAGTGTTTTGAAATATCTCAGAGGGCGAATAAAGCGCGAGATTTAAACGATTTAAATTTTTCAAAAAATTTAAATTTCATCCAAATAAAAAATCGAAGATGAAATCTGTATTTTGACAGATGGAGAACACCATACAATGTGTTTTGAAATATTTCAGAGGTCGAATAAAGCAAGTTTTAAACGATTTAAATTTTTCAGAAAATTTAAATTTCATTCAAATAAAAATTCGAATATGAAATCTGTATTTTGACAAATGGAGAACACCATAAAATGTGTTTTGAAATCTCATAAAGGTCACATTGAGGGAGATTTAAACGATTTAAATTTTTAAAAAAAATTAAATTGCTTCCAAATGTAACAAAATGCACAACATGTGCATTTTGACAGATAGACAACATTAGACAATGTGTTTTGAAACCTGTTATAGCGCTTGATTTTACATTTGGAAGCAATTAAAATTTTTTGAAAAATTTAAATCGTTTAAATTTCACTCTATTGGACCTTTAAGAGGTTTCAAAACACATTACTTAATGTTATCCATCTGTTACAATACAAATATAGTACTTGATTTTACATTTGGAAACAATTTAATTTTTTTGAAAAATTTAAATCGTTTAAATCTCACTGTATTTTACCTTTTGGAGATTTCAAAACATATTGTATGATGTTCTCTATCTGTCACAATACATATGTAGTACTTGATTTTACATTTGGAAGCAATTTAATTTTTTTAAAAAATTTAAATAGCTTAAATCTCACTCCATTTGACCTTTGAGAGATTCAAAATACATTGAATGATGTTATCCATTTCTCATAGCACAAACTTAGTACTTAATTTTACATTTGGAAGCAATTTAAATTTTTTGAAAAATTTAAATCGTTTAAATCTCACTCTATTTGACCTTTGAGAGGTTTCAAAACACATTGTATGATGTTCTCTATCTGTCACAATACATATGTCGTACTTGATTTTACATTTGGAAGCAATTTAAATTTTTTGAAAAATTTAAATCGTTTAAATTTCACTTTATTTGACATCTGAGAGGTTTCAAAACACATTGTATGATGTTCTCTATCTGTCACAATACATATAGAGTACTTGATTTTACATTTAGAATCAATTTAAATTTTTTGAAAAAATTTAATCGTTTAAATCTCACTCTATTTGACCTTTGAGAGATTCAAAACACATTGCATGATGTTATCCATTTGTCATAGTACAAACTTAGAACTTAATTTTACATTTGGAAGCAATTTAAATTTTTTGAAAAATTTAAATTGATGAAATCTCACTCTATATGACCTTTGAGAGATTTCAATACTCATTGTATGATGTTCTCTATCTATCACAATACATATTTTGTACTTGATTTTATTTGGAAGCAATTTAAATTTTTTTGAAAAATTTAAATCGTTTAAATCTCACTTTATTTGAACCTTGAGAGGTTTCAAAACACATTGTATGATGTTCTCTATCTGTCACAATACATATGTCGTACTTGATTTTACATTTGGAAGCAATTTAAATTTTT